TAGGACAGGAAGCAATTGGTGGAAGTAATTGGTAAATATTCAGGGAGGAAAGACTGGAGGAGAGAAAAGCTATCATGGAAAATGACCTGATAGCCTTTTAAGGCCTTGCGGTTGGCAGAGATCCCTGTGATGATGATCTGCGTCCATTGGTGTTTCTTCCCTGAGGAAGCAAATGCCTGAAAAACAGAAGCGCTCATATTTTCGTGGGTGTGGACCAGGTATCTGCATAGCACAGTGAAGAAAAGTAGTGGGGATACTCAACACTCTCATTCTCAATCACAGATGTTGGGGTGACTAACGCTTTCTGAAGGTTAAAACAACATTCATCTTCAGAAGCCACTATAACTCTTTTACTCTTAAGGCGGCCTCCTTGAACTTTAGAAATGAGTGTGCTATTTTGAAGGAGGCCTCTTTAACTGCTACAAAACACCAGTATCTCTAAGGCTACTAATGATGATCATCTTGCAAACTGAATCTAGTAGCAGATGTGGTTTCAATGGAAAAAGAGTCCAATCCAAGTCAGAAAATCAGAAAAGAGAGTGGATGTTGTCTATTTGAGTGATATAAAAAATAATGTGATATAATTGAAGAGTATAACATATACAATACTTGAAAGAAATTTGTATGTTATACATTGAAAATAAAAGATATATGTCTGTCTAGAGACCATTTTTTTAAAGATTGACAAATTTCAAGGGAATCACTGTTTTGCTTGAACACAAATGAGTTCCTATATCTTCAAAGTTTCCTTCAGACCAACAATTGGTCATGTGACAAAGAGAGATGACTTCATTCCCTTAAGCAAAATGCTTCAGGAGGATTTTGTCACATGGTTCTAAGGATTTACAAAAATTATTTATTGATGGAAAATATTAAATGGGCAATTATATAAGGAAACTTTTATATTATTCACCTATATCGCTAAAACATTTTCCTCAAAGTTTTAGTTGCAATTTTCAAAACAATTGAGAAAATCATTTAATAAGAAAATAAATCTAACCACTTTGTTAATTTAGGTTATTCGCATCATGTTATTTTAAAAAGTGGAATTGATATTTATATGCAGAAGACAAGCTATGCATAAATTAATCATTATATATCCTAAATAATCCTGAGTTTTGGGCAGCTAGTTAAATTATTACATGATAGCTGAGGTCGTAGCTTCATTCTTTGTCTTCTCTGTCATTTAATATTAAGTAGTAAAAAAAAATGACTAGTAAATAATATATATAAAAATAATCATATACTGCTCAGGTTTTTTTTGGTTGCAAATGTGGAAACCCAATTTAAACTAGTTTAGCTAGAAAAGGAAAATGTGTATTTGCTTTTATAGCACATATTTATGATCTATTAATAAACCATCCCTAACTGTGTATTTAGCTTACAAATCTGCAATTTGGGAAGGATTCACAAGGAAAGGCTCATCTCATTGGCTGGGGCAGTTCCACCTAGGCCGGAAAGATTTATCTTGAAGATGGCTCTCTCACATGGTTGAAAGCTAATGCCATTGTCTCCTGAAAGCTCATCTGAGGCTGAGGGTTGCAGGCTGGAGGGAGCTCTATTTCCTTTCACATGAGCCTTTCCATGGCCTCCGTCAGCTTCTTTATGGCATAGGGTCTGAATTCCAGGAGGCAGTGTTCCAAGAGGACCGGATAAAGTTGTATAGCCTTTTATGTACCAGTTTTGGACGTCTTATAGAGTGACTTTCCTGGTAGTTACAGCCCTGCCATATGTAAGGGAAAGGAACATACATTCTCACAGGGAAGAGTATTGTGACATGGAAAATAAAACCTGCTACATAACTGAAATTTAGATATGCTCTTTATCTATGCCCCTTTGCCTTCTATATACTGCCTTCTTTTTCCTCTGTTAAGACAATCTTTCTCCAGCTGACAGCTGGGTGTTCCCATACTTAGTCTGTTGAAGAATTAAAAGGAATTCTTCTCCATCAGCTTGAGCCAGAAGAACTGCAGGCAAAGACTCTATCTGGCTTTGTTGCAGTGATGAACCAATTCATAGACTAATTTCTGGTCAAGTGGATTGGGGAATAAGGGCTCAAAAGGCAGCGTTCAAATTTGGACAGTACTCATCAGAAACATAATTAGGAAAGATTGTCCCCACTCTCACCAGATATGGGTTACATTCAGGTCAAACAACATAAAGAATGTCCACTAAAAGTTTTGATGACAGAAAAGGGTCTTTGGCATTTTGCTACCTACCTTTCACTTTCTATTGCATACTCATTTGTGTATTCACTCAAGGATTTGTACTTACACTCTCTGACAGGCGATGTTCTACACCAGTGATTCTCAAAGGGTGATCTAGGGATCCCTTGGGGTTCCTCCTCCTTTCATGGGGTCCAAGAGGTCAAATCTATTTTCATAGTAACTCTAACATATGCTTTGCTTTTTTCACTCTGATTTTTATAAGGGTGTACAGTGAAGTCTTCCAGAGGCTACATGACATGTGGTATCACAACAGTAAAGAGATTTCCTGCTGTCTTCTCTTAAGCCAGACATTGAAGGCATTTATAAAAACACAAACCATGGCCTCTGTCATCACTGAATTTTTCTTTATTTTAGAAAATATTTACTTTATTTAAAATATGCTATTTGTGTTAATAAGCAACAAGTTTATTACCAGGTCTACTTAATATGCACTATTAAAATTACTCAAATTTAGTTTCTAACATGATAAACACTGATAGTTGTAACCCACATTATCAAGGTCTTTAAAGAATTAAACAAAAATTTTAAGAATGTAAAGTCCTGTGAGAAAAATGAGAACCTGCATGTAAGTTGAAATGTGGTATCCAACAAAGTAAACGAAGCCTCTGCTTTCTGAGCACAGAAGAGATGCCAGCCTACTTCAAGGAGGATTACAAGATTTATCATGCTGCACCATAATTATCTATCTATGGTCAAGTCCTCCACAAAACTCTAAGTTTCGAGAGGGCAGAGACTATATATTATTTTCAGAAAAAAATTCAAAAATTATAGTTATCATTTTTCAAAAGAAATACAAAAGTATTCCATTTTATGTATTCATGAACTCCATTGAAAGATGAAATTTTTCTTACTAATTTACTTCTAAGGTAGCAATAAAAATTGAGAAGTTATCAGTTTTAAAGCACTCATTAAAATCTTGGGTTTATCAGAAACTGATGTCTATTATCTAAAGTGACATATAAATGTTCACGATGTCTGTATTGAAGAATTCACATTCAGAAAAATGGTATTATGTTAGGTGCATTTTAGTAATTTGGGATTATCATAAATCTGCAAAGAAAACATTAGCTACTTTTCTTTTAATATTATTAGTTGTAGAGATGGGTCTCACTGTGTTGTCCTGGCTGGTCTCAAACTCTTGGCCTCAAGCAATCCTCCCACCTCAGCCTCCCATAGCTCTGAGATTATAGGCATGAGCCACTGGGTCAGGCCCAGTTTTCTAATCTTGTGTTAATTTTCCTGCTACTGAATGTACATGGTACATGCTTCATAAATTTTGAGCTTGATTTTTTTAGGTTAGATGCAGACTGTAACATAGAAATGCAATTTAGAATTGCTTGAGCACTGTTTTTCATCACCAGTCTGGGATCACCAATTTATTTTATTGGGTAATGATTTTGGAGTCTTTAGAAAGCCACACTAAAATCCTACAGGTGAAGTCTTAGGCCCTCTTAGAATGACAAATGTTTATTTGCTACCATGCCAAGATGCATGCAATTATACAGGGTACCTGGAAATTATCACCCTTCTCTAATGCAGTGATTACCTAATTTAGCTGATATGAATCATTACAGAGCTTTTTTAAAATTCAGATTCCCACACCTAACCTAGACCTTATAAATCAGAATCCAGCTTCTACTATTTACTGAATGTCAAATGTTTGATATCTCAAAGCTGAACAAACAAACAAATGAAAACTAGGAAGAGTCCCTATATTTGCCTGCCTTTGCTTTGAAGCTCAGCCTATAAAACAAAGAGCACTATATAATACAAGTCATCAAAAGCTGCAAATATCCACCTTATATCCTGCCTATAAGTCTCCAACTTCCTTTATGTCTTAAGAAAAGTCTAGACATAGCTCAACAGTGTCTAAGAAAATCTATGCAAGCAAACTTCAGATATATTGCAGATTTGGTTCCAGACTACCACAATAAACAAATATTGCAATAAAGCAAGTCATACAAAAATTTTGGTTTCACAAAGCAAATAAAAGTTATGTTTATACTACTCTATAGTCTATCAAGTGAGCAATAGCATTTCATATAAAAAACAATATGGGCCCGGCATAATGGCTCATGTCTGTAATCCTAACACTTTGGGAGGCTGAAGCAGAAGGATCACTTGAGCCTAGGAATTCAAGACCAGCCTTGCAAATGTAGTGAGACCCTGTCACTCAAAATTTTTTTTTTAATTAGTCAAGCATGCTTTTGTACATCTGTAGTCCCAGCTATTTTGGAGGCTGAGGTGGGAAGACTGCTTGAGGCCTGAAGGTGGAGGCTGCAGTGAACCATGATGGCATCACTGCACCCCAGCCTCCAGCCTGGGGGATAAAGTGAGACCCTGTCTCAAAAAAAAAAAAAAAAAAAGCATATCTTAATTTAATGAAGTGTTATTGCAAAAAGTGATAACAATCATCTGAGCCTTCAAAGAATGATACTCTTTGCTGGTGGAAGGTCTTGCCTCCATGTTGATGGCTGCTGACTGATCAGGGTGGTGATTTCTGAAGGGTGAGGTGGCTGTGGTGATGTTTTGAAATAAGACCACAATGAAGTTTACCACGTTAGTTGCCTCTTTCTTTTGTTAAAGATTTCTCTGTAGCATGTATTGCTGTTTGATAGCATTTTACCTACAGTAGAATTTCTTTCAAAATTGGAGGCAATCCTTTCAAACTCTGTTGCTGTTTTATAAACTAAGTTTATGGATTATCCCAAATTTTGTCATTTCAACAATGTTCACAGCATCTTCACTAGGGGTCCAGTTCATCCCAAGTACTTTCTTTGCACATCTGTAAGAAGCAACTTCTCATTGTTAAAGTTTTATCACGAGATTGCAGCAATTTAGTCACATCTTCAGGCTCCAGTTCTCATTCTAGTTCTCCTGCTATTTTTACCACATCTACAGTTACATTCTGGATTGAAGTTCTGAACCCCTCAAAGTCATTCATGAGGATTGGAATCCACTTCTTCCAAACTCAGGTTAATGTTAATGTTTTGACCTTCTTTCATGAATCATGAATGTTCTTAATGACATCTAGAATGGCAAATTCTTTTTAAAAGGTTGTCAAATTACTCTGCCCAGCTCCATCAGAGGAAACACTACATATGCAGCTATAGTCTTATGAAATATATTTCTTAAATAACAAGACTTGAAAGCCAAATTTACTACTTGATCCATGAGCTGCAGAATGGATGTTAACAAGCATGAAAACAACATTACTGTGCTTTTATATCTCCATGACAGCTCGGGTGACTAGGTGCTTTGTCAATGAATAGTATATTTTGAAAGGAATCCTTTTTTTTTTTTTTTTTTTTTTTTTTTTAGGGGTTTTTTTTTTTTTTTTTTTTTTGAGACGGAGTTTCGCTCTTGTT